AGGACTGAGGCTGTAGACCCAGGACTGAGGCTGTAGACCCAGGACTGAGGCTGTAGACCCAGGACTGAGGTTGTAGATCCAGGACTGAGGCTGTAGACCCAGGACTGAGGCAGTAGATCCAGGACTGAGGCTGTAGATCCAGGACTGAGGTTGTAGACCCAGGACTGAGGCTGTAGACCCAGGACTCAGGCTGTAGATCCTGGACTGAGGCTGAAGACCCAGGACTGAGGCTGTGGAGGAGGCGAGGACGGGGTGCAGCTCACAAGTCTAGGCCGGGAAAGTCTAATCCACAGGCGCAGATAAGAGGCCGGGTTCCGAGGTCCCATCATCACACCATGAAACACACAATGGGACAGTGGGTGAATAGCAATGAACAGACTACAGCTGAAGTCACAATGAGGACAGAAGATAATGTCCAATATCATTCTTGTTCCTCCCCTTGTCATTGGAATGTGTAGAGCTACAGTATCTCATCCACCTCTCCAGTTCTTCCTGTAAGCGTGGTTGCATCAGGGCTGATTTGGAGCCGTATTTCAAAACCAAAGTTAATGTGAAGCAGCTGAAGAAACAGGAAGTGAGCCGCGTGCCGAGTCTGAGCTGGGAAACTGGGAAAGTGAGTAGTAGTAGTAGTATCAGGATAAATTGACGGCCCTAAATACTGCAATAAAAAAGTCAAAATGTGTGTATCTTATGTATCTTAATTTGAGCACATTCTGACTGCCTTAAAACAAGATTTGCCGATTGGACAAAGCAAAAAGATCCTGTTTTAAAAAGATACAATAAATGTGTCCCTTGCAATAAGAAAATAAAGCAACAGTGGTTTTGTCTTGTTGGAGAATCTGGTTTAAAGTCAGATTGTGCTCAGATTGAGATAAAAAAAAACCTTCGATTCAACATTTATTACCTCATATCTGATCCCTTTTGCAGCGCATACCACAGCATGGTGTCTTCATCGTATGTTGAGAATAGATCCCTGTGAGTCACTATTTGCCTCTGTGGGCTGAGAGCTGGTTGGCTGAGTGAGGGTGGTCCTCTCTTTTTCCACATTTCTTTTTAATTTATGATCTAAAGAAGCAACAGAGGCCAGAAATGTGTGTTTTGACCCAAACTGTGTTACAGCCTATGTAATATGGACAAGTGGAATATGTTTTATCACATCATTTGATTGTTGTGGTTTGAAAAATGTGAACGTAGAGAGATTGAAAGTTAGTCTTCTCCTTCTGCAGTATTACATCACTAAAGTTAATTTCTTTAGGACAAGGCTATCATTGTGTTGTCTTTGTTATAATATAAGCAGTTTTATCTGATGGGCCTCTGCTCTCCCTCTCAATCTGTCCCCCTCTCCCCCGCTCTCCCCCTCTCCCCCTCCCCCTCTCCCCCTCTCCCCCTCCCCTTCTCCCTCTCTCCCGCTCTCCCTCTCCCTCCTCTCTCACCCTGTCCCTGCCCCTCTCTCCAGTGGAGCTGGGCTCTGGTCCAACCTCCTCTGTCTGCTGCATAGACTGTCTGCTGTAGATCTTTCTGTTTCCACATTTGACCTGTAGCTGGTAGTGTGTGTCCTCTCCTCTGCCACGCCCTCACACTGGGTTGAATAGTGGGTGATGCATGGATGGAGGCTATAAAACTTTATTAGAGATGATGACTGTGACAACACTCACAAGCTTTAACCCTTGTGCTGCCCTTGGGTCAGAATGACCCACAGTGAGTAAAAGTATAAGAAAAATACCACAAATTAGCCCCGGGCTGGTTAAGTCTGGAAAAATCATCTTGAAAGACATTGTTAGGTCAGAGTAGTTTTAACATGTTGGAGATGGTGTTGGAATGTAAAGATACAGCTTTCTCATGTCTGAAATCTTTAATATCTAAGACCTGAAAACTGCTTCAGAATATCTTTATCGCAAAGATACTCTGTATTCAAATAGATTCATAGTGTGAAACTATTTGAATTACTTCATCAATGTCAGTTCAAATCTAACTTTGACTTGACTTTGAAGGGCTCTCCTCTCAGCAGCCCCCTCTAGTGGACGTCAGCAGAAGCAGGAAAAACAAATGCAGGAGATGTGGAGACACATGTAACTAACTTGTGTGTGCGTGTGTCTATGTGTATGTGTAAACAGTGTGTGAACTCATTTGAAACACAGACAGATCTGGAAGCAGCAGTGATCACAGCACTGAGGCCTGAGGCTGCTTCCCTTCCCAGCATTCCACACACCTGCTCCTCAAAGCATCAGTAGCTACGTATAGCCGTCAAATTGATTGCTCTGACAGTTCCAGTGTTGATATAACCAAACGTCTCTAGTGGTCCTCATCAGGTCCTCATCAAGTCCTCATCAGGTCCACATCAGGTCCACATCAGGCGGGAGCAGAGAGGATTACCCAGACTGCTGTGCTGCTGTTGTCTTTGTCTGTAATCGCAGCTCAGTCAGACGGTTCCTCCTGCAGCCGCAGCACACGGATCTATGCTCTGTTTTCATTTAGACTGACTTTTTGGAAAAGTGTTTGTGTCAGAAGGTCCTCCTCTGATTGGATTAGGTGAGTCGCTTTGATGTTCACAGTTATGAGGAGGAGGGGGAGGAGGAGGAGGACTGGGGGAGGTGGAGGGTGTAGATTAGATATCGTTTACATTTACACACATATCTGTATTCTGAGATTCCCTTGTTGCCATCTGTGTAGTTATTAAAATGTGTATATTATTGTTTATCTTTTATAACTTATCTATGATGTATATCTGTTCTACTACCTCTACATTCGCTACTACTACTACTACTACTACTATTACTATTACTACTACTACTACTATACTACTATTACTATTACTACTACTACTACTACTATTACTATTGCTACTACTACTACAAGTACTATTACTATTACTACTACTACTACTAGCGCTTTTGGGTCAAGCGCTGCGATGGGTTGCGTGATTGGGATTAGGACATTTACTCTTCTTCCATTGCACCATTTAAACAGATTAATGGCAGACTGGGACAGGGGTCTGCACCATCTGTAACTGGAGGAGGGGACGGGACCAGGGGTGAGGAGGGGGAGCAGATGTTTGGATGAGGCTGTGTGGGTCAGTGTGGCAGCAGACGGGAGGGAGAAGCTCAGGATGCTGATATTGTAGAAGATAAATGTGTTATAGGTAAACAGATTTGATTTCATTCATTTGAGCAGAAAGGAGGAATAAGTCTGGTGTGTGAATGGTTGGTGGTGGTGGGAGTGGCCTATGGCCCAGACTGGTTGTCTTGCTTCTGTCAGTGTGCCCCAGGGCAGCTGTGGGTTCAGTAGTAGTTTATCATATCAGTAGTAGATATTTTGAATGATTGGTGTACTAAATGGAGACTTGATATTAATTGTGATAAGACTCAAATAGTTAACTTTAGAAGGCCTAATGCTTGTCAAAGTGAGTATGAATTTTATTTTGGTCAAACATTGTTGATGTATTCTGCAACTTATAAGTATCTTGGTTTTGTTTTTCATGAGAATATGATTTTTTCTGATGGTAGAAGAGTACTAGCAGATTCTGCTGGGAGGGCTCTGGGTGCAGTTATCAGTAAGATGAAATTATGTCCTGATTTGCCCTTCACTATTTTCACTCAGCTCTATGACTCAATGGTAGCTCCTGTTTTGCTCTATGCTGCAGGAGTATGGGGTTTTCAGGATGCTGCAGAGAGCAACTCTGTCCAAAGCAGAGCTATGAGGTATTTCCTTGGAGTCCATAAGTTCACTCCCAAGGCAGCCATAGAGGGAGACATGGGCTGGGAACCCTGCGTGGTGAAACAGTGGGCTGAAATGTTAAGACTTTGGAACCGTCTGGTTCAATTACCGGAGGAGAGACTCACTAGGAAAGTCTTTAATTGGGACAAAACTCATAAATGTCCTTGGTCTCAGGAGATCCTTCAAATATTCACAATCATTGTTTTGGAATAATTTACAGTGTAAAATAACAAACCACAGGCAGATACTATTTGATCATTACAAAGAGCAGTGGAAAATTGAATTGCTAAGAAAACCGAAATTGAGAACTTATATTCAGATTAAAGAATGTTTTTCAACAGAGATTTATGTGAAATATAATTTGAAAAGAGGACAGAGGTCTCTGTGTGCTCAGCTCAGAGCAGGAGTGCTGCCTCTAGAGGTGGAGGTGGGTCGTTAGAGAGGGGTACCTGAAGAGAACAGACTTTGTAATGTTTGTGATCTATGTGTGGTGGAGGATGAATTTCACTTTATGTTCTATTGTCCATTGTATAATGATTTAAGAACAGCTTTGTTTGAAAGAGTCGAATGCAGTAATCCTGATCTATTTTGGTTGGCAGAAGGTGATATGTTGAGTTGGTTATTTAGAAATTCTATTTTTTGTTTGGCAAGATATGTGGAGAAAGCCTGGACAATGAGAATGAAAGCTTTGTATCCAGATTCTTGATTTTTCTGTGAAATGTATATTGTATATTGAACATATTGTTTAAATGGTCGTCTTCCAAGTTATGTTTATAGTGTCATATAAGCCCATGTGGGCTGGGCACATATGTGCATGACACTTAAATAAAATATTCATTCATTCATTCATTCAGTTTATCACCCTTGTGTTTGAAGTGAATGAATAATGACAAATGAGTCGTCTGAAAAATGTGTAAGTAAGTAATCTTTATTTATATACCGCCTTTCACAGACCAGAGTCACAAAGCGGTTTGCAATTGTTATTTTTGGGCACTTGTCTCTCACTCCACACAGAGATGGGAGCGGGGTCGCTGAACAGGAGGCACATGACAGACCTACTGTACATGTTTTTAGTGGTAGAGGAAACCGGACTGCAAACTCCACTCAGGTCCAATGCATTATAATTATTACACATTTTTCTCATATTTTGGAAACAAGCCAAATTCAAAAGAAGTCAGATTTTCCCTTTGAGTAGCACCTGTACATACACTGCATTCTTCCCGGTCTTCCCAGAGCGTGACCTCATGCCTCACATCTGCAGTTGTGCTTCCCATAGCTGCTGCTAAATGGTAGGTGCGTGTGTGAGGCTGTCAGCTGGGGGTGTGGCCCCCACCTGGCCCCAGGTTGGCTCTTGTCTGAGGCCATGGATGTTAAGGCTCTGGCCGGATCCTGTTGCAGATCACTTCTTGGCAGAGATTTTGAATAATATATTTGTTGAAAGAATTGAAAATAAACAATAGTATGAATAGACCATATAAACAGGACACAAATGAGTTAAATGGGATCTATGGAAAACAATTGGTTTGTAGCTACTGGTGGTAGCAGCAGTAGAAAGGGATAGAAGTAGTAGAAATGTGGAAGTGCTACTAGAGATAGTAGTAGTAGCAGTTGTAGCCGTAGTATAGTAGTGGTGGAAGTGGTAGTAGTAGTAGTAGTAGTAGCAGTACTAGTGATGTATCCACCAGTTATAAAACAATAAGTCAATAGTCATAGTAGTCATGGTGACAGACCTACGTCTACGTTTTAGATTTTCCCACTGGGTTTTTTAAGAGTTTTTCCTTGTCGATGCAGGAGGGTCTTGTTGGACAGTTAGTGTCCAACAGAAAGGATTGGTGATGATCAGGACACTTTAGCATTCTACAACATGTATGGACATTTTGTGTGCTTTATATTTTTCATGTGTTTTAACTGTTGATTCTCTGACCTGTGTTGGTGATTTCAATGGTTTTGTTAAGTCCTCTGAGATGACTTCTGTTGTGACCTAGGGCTATACAAGAATAAATTGTATTGTATTGTATTGTATTGAAATATCTGGCTTTAAACATGAAAAAGCTGTTGTTGTTGCCGTGGTGAACTGTCAGCTTCAATCAGAAACCAGAAAGTTGTTGCTCTTCCACTGTGGTTTCTCCTCAAATCCCCGAAGGCTCCTGATGATTTCCTGTCGTTCCATTTGAAGACTCAACTATTGCTTCATGGGAAATGTATTTCTAACTTTGTCCCACTGGGTTTTTAAGTTGTTGCATGTTGATGCTTAAGTGTCTAAAGACAATAGGATCTAGGACATTTATGGACATGTATGGACAGTGGTCGTCCCGCTCCCTATGGACCAATGGCTCTGTGTATTTTTTTATTTTTGCATGTCCTGTGTTTGAACTCTTTGTTTCTCTGATCTGCAAATCCACAACTTTGTAAAGTCCTCTGAGAGACAGCTGCTGAGATGAGTGCTGACAGAAGTCAATTGTGCCTCTGGTCTCGTCCAAAAGCAGATATTGGAGGTGTGTGTGTGTGCGTGTCGGTGTCTGCTTGTTTGGGTGTCGATGTGTGTGTGTGTGTGTGCGGGTGTCTGTGTGTGTGTGTGCTTATCACTTCTGCAGTCTCCAACTATTGTCTGAGACCAGATTAACTTCAAGTGACCTACAGCTGTTGTGGTTTTCAGTCTGTCTCTAAAGTTGATGTTATTGCTTCTAAAACATGTTCGACTTTCATCTTATACACCTATTAAAATAATGAAACTAGTTGTCACATGTATTTTTAGACTTTAGATCATCTTTTGCTGACAGACAAGTGAAGAGAGGACCACCCAAGTGTGTGAGAGATGCATGTTTTGATATTAGACAAAACCTCGGCTGTGTGTGAAAGAGGAAAAACATATTAATCATTTATTGTATCATAATCCGCTACACAACACAATCAAACACACTAAATACAAACAATTGTATTCTGGTTTATAGTGTATAGATACATACAGATAGATACATAGATTCATAAAGATTGATACATATAGATAGATAGATACATAGATAAGGCAAGGCAAGTTTATTTGTATAGCACAATTCATACACAAGGCAACTCAAAGTGCTGAACAAAATAAGAAAGTATTAAAATCATAAATAATCACAGAACATTAAAAAGAAAGATAAAAATATAAAATCCCTCAGTTGTATGCACAGCTAAACAGAACTGTTTTTAACCTGGTTTTAAACATTGTCAGAGAGGAGGCCTGTCTCGCATCTTCAGGAAGATTGTTCCAGATTTTAGCAGCATGAATCTGAAAAGCAGCCTCCCCATGTTTAGTTCTGACTCTGGGCACTAACAGGAGTCCAGTCCCTGTGCTCCCCAGAGTCCCAGCAGGAGTCCAGTCCCTGTGCTCCTCAGAGTCCGGGCTGGTTCATATGGGACTAACATGTCACTAATATATTTTGGTGCGAGGCCATGGAGAGACTTGTACACAAGCAGAGCTGTTTTAAAGTCTATTCTCTGAGCCACAGGAAGCCAGATACACATAGATAGATTCATAGATGGACAGATACTGTATTGATCCCTTCAGGATAATGCAGCAGCAGAAACACATCCTAACAAACAAACAAATAAATACATAATTATAAAAGTGACTTCCAGTGGATTTCTGCTTGGTTGGGACCATCGTCTCTGCTCTGGTCTGGATCAGTGTAAAACCATGAGCACTACTGCAGTAACATGTACAGAGAAATAACGATTGTAAAACACAAAACAACTGTTTCCGGACTCGCTGCCGATTCCAGTGCATTCACTTTATCTCAATACAATCTTTCTTGTGTGTTTATTTGCCTGTGACTTTGTTTTGTCTGTCATGTTAAACCTTCAAATTGAACAAGTGCTGCCATCTCCTCTAACTCGATTTGCACTTTTAATCTGCTGCCGGGGAAACATAAACATCCTTTCTCAATTAGATTTCCTCCACACATGCGTCTGCCAGACCCCCACTTCAGACCAGAGAGACCAGAGATAGACCAGACCAGAGAGAAAGAGACCAGAGAGAGAGAGACCAGAGAGAGAGAGACCAGAGAGATAGACCAGATAGACCAGAGAGATAGACCAGAGAGAGAGACCAGAGAGAGAGACCAGAGAGAGAGACCAGAGAGAGAGACCAGAGGGAGAGACCAGAGGGAGAGACCAGAGGGAGAGAGACCAGAGAGAGAGACCAGAGAGATAGACCAGAGGGAGAGACCAGAGAGAGAGAGACCAGAGAGAGAGACCAGAGAGATAGAGTCATCAGGACCGGAGTCATATGGACCAGAGACAGAGACCAGAGAGAGGGACCAGAGAGAGAGACACACCAGAAAGAGACCAGAGAGACCCGAGAGATAGACCAGAGACACAGACAGAGAAACCAGAGGGAGAGACCGGAGAGAGAGACCAGAGACAGAGAGAGAGACCAAAGAGAGATACCAGAGAGAGAGAGGTACCAGAAAGAGACCGGAGAGAGAGAGAGAGAGCGATACCAGAAAGAGACCAGAGAGAGACCAAAGAGACCAGAGGGAGAGCATAGAGAGAGACCAGAGAGACCAGACCAGGGGGACCAGACCAGAGAGGCCAGACAGACCAGACCGGACACTGGTCAGAGGATGGAAGTGGAGAGACCTCAGAGTTGTGTTACATTAAAGTCCATTGTGGTTCTTTGCCTTTTCTCACAGTGACAGAGTTGGGTCTCACAGCAGTTAGTTAGGCAGAGTGAATCCATCCTTTACTCATACCTGGATATGAGTCTTCTTCATTTTGGTTCCTTATTGATGCAGGAGGACAGTGATGATCCAGAACATTTATTAGCATTTATGGACCATGGTCATCTACCTCTTAAGAACCAATGTGTTTTTATCATTCAGTTTGTGTTGTGAAACCATTTTGGTTCTTTGATCTGTGTTGGTGAATCAACAACTTTGTAAAATCCTTCGAGATATTTGTTGTGTGCTTTTAACCACATTATGACATTGTTCTCTCGTCAAAAACAAACCTGCAGTCGTTTCTAGATCCATCCACGCTGATATCAGGAACTTCTGGCACAATTGTGTAGATCTTCCCCGTCTGTCTCTAAGATCCAGTTTCAGTCCTGTTATAGTATGATGTCATTGTACTTTTAGACATCACACTCTATAAAATAAAAGTAATAAACCTAAATTAGGTTTGGTAAATTAAATGGCGTTCCTTTCTGTGTTTGCACCCACACCTTGTTTAGTGAAGCACGTTGAGTTGCCTTGTGGATGAACTGTGCCATACAAACAAACTTTTGACCTGTCTTCTTCTCCTGTTGCAGCTGTCTCGGATTTGGACGTGGAGAGCAAACTGACCGCTCACTTCCGGGCCCCGTGGCATCAGCAGCGAAACCTGCTCCACCCAAACACAAGACCAGAATGTATCGTGGAGCTCCACCAGCAGCAAGCCGAGCTCAGCCTGTGGGCCCTGCACCGAGGTACAAGCAAGACCAGGACCTGAAAGAACGGGACCAGAGACCGGGACCAGAGACCGAGACCAGAGACCTGGGCCAGAGACCGGGACCAGAGACCGGACCCAGAGACCGGACCCAGAGACCGGGACCAGAGACCGGGACCAGAGACCGGACCCAGAGACCGGACCCAGAGACCGGGACCAGAGACCGGGACCAGAGACCGGGACCAGAGACCGGGACCAGAGACCGGGACCAGAGACCGGGACCAGAGACCGGGACCAGAGACCGGGACCAGAGACCGGGACCAGAGACCGGGACCAGAGACCGGGACCAGAGACCGGGACCAGAGACCGGGACCAGAGACCGGGACCAGAGACCGGGACCAGAGACCGGGACCAGAGACCGGGACCAGAGACCGGGACCAGAGACCGGGACCAGAGACCGGGACCAGAGACCGGGACCAGAGACCGGGACCAGAGACCGGGACCAGAGACCGGGACCAGAGACCGGGACCAGAGACCGGGACCAGAGACCGGGACCAGAGACCGGGGCCAGAGACCGGGGCCAGAGACCGGGGCCAGAGACCGGGGCCAGAGACCGGGGCCAGAGACCGGGCCAGAGACCGGGGCCAGAGACCGGGGCCAGAGACCGGGGCCAGAGACCGGGGCCAGAGACCCCCCAAAAGACTAGATTTTCCTCCTCCTCTTGAGACAGAGAGCATGTATTGTTTGGTTATTAATATGTTAGTGATTAAGCTTCACAGCAAAAAGCTCCTGGGTTTGAAGTCCACCTCCAGATAAAATCTTTCTCTGTGGAGCCTACATACACACACACACACACACAAACACACACACATAATCCTTATCCTCTAAACTCAACAATTATTTCTTGTTTTCACTCCTGACCATTTAATCTCTGTTGGTATTTGACACTGTCTCTACCAGTTACTGCAGCTGTGTCTCCCTCTGCTGGCTGATTACTGTCACTGCAATAGATCAAATTCACATATTTCCATAAATTATATATTTTGTCATTTAAAATAATGTTGCATACCTGTTAGAAAGAGCCTTGTGTGTTACTATTTCACGTTTTGAGCTTAGAGCTGAGTTTTTTTACTGGCCACTACTTTTGCAGCACAGTAGCACAGTGGTTAGTGCTTGTGCTTCACAGCTAGAAGGTCCTGGGCTCAATTTCACCTCCAGGACTTTAATTAACAGTAGCAGCGAAAATGGAAACTGAAACTACAGCTTTGCATGGTTTTGTTTGGACGAAGGAGTAGAATTCTCCTCCATGTACAGTTACACTCACACGCACACGAAGCATTAGCTGACCCATACTGTTGGCATGTGGGGAAATATTTGCTAATGTTTCTTTTGAGGTTGAGAAGGATCTTTTATAAAAGGCAAAAGTACAAAGAGGCTAGTATGGCTTCAATACCTGATGTTTCTGCTGCACTTTTGTCTCATTACAAGAAAATTTTCAGTCTCAAACATAAAAGGAAACATTCACTTTTTACATTTCATGTTTGTTTTGTTTCTCAGACCACGAGCAGCGGCGAGCGGACAGCAGGGAGAAACGAGTGACCATCTCTGCCCTTCCCCCGATGCCCCTTTACCCACACACTGCCAACGACCACTCCAACTTCCCCACGGTAAGGAACCATGAGTGAGGCTGTAGACCCAGCACTGAGACTGTAGACCCAGGACTGAGGCTGTAGATCCAGGACTGATGTTGTAGATCCAGGACTGATGCTGTAGATCCAGGACTGATACTGTAGACCCAGGACTGATGCTGTAGACCCAGGACTGATACTGTAGATCCAGGACTGATGCTGTAGACCCAGGACTGATACTGTAGACCCAGGACTGAGACTGTAGACCCAGGACTGAGGCTGTAGACCCAGGACTGAGACTGTAGACCCAGGACTGAGACTGTAGACCCAGGACTGAGGCTGTAGACCCAGGACTGAGGCTGTAGATCCAGGACTGATGCTGTAGATCCAGGACTGATACTGTAGACCCAGGACTGATGCTGTAGACCCAGGACTGATGCTGTAGATCCAGGACTGATACTGTAGACCCAGGACTGATGCTGTAGATCCAGGACTGATACTGTAGACCCAGGACTGATGCTGTAGACCCAGGACTGATACTGTAGATCCAGGACTGAGGCTGTAGATCCAGGACTGATACTGTAGACCCAGGACTGATGCTGTAGATCCAGGACTGATACTGTAGACCCAGGACTGATGCTGTAGACCCAGGACTGATACTGTAGACCCAGGACTGAGACTGTAGACCCAGGACTGAGGCTGTAGACCCAGGACTGAGACTGTAGACCCAGGACTGAGACTGTAGACCCAGGACTGAGGCTGTAGACCCAGGACTGAGGCTGTAGATCCAGGACTGATGCTGTAGATCCAGGACTGATACTGTAGACCCAGGACTGATGCTGTAGACCCAGGACTGATGCTGTAGATCCAGGACTGATACTGTAGACCCAGGACTGATGCTGTAGACCCAGGACTGATACTGTAGACCCAGGACTGATACTGTAGACCCAGGACTGATGCTGTAGACCCAGGACTGATACTGTAGACCCAGGACTGATGCTGTAGACCCAGGACTGATGCTGTAGATCCAGGACTTAGGCTGTACTATCTCTTTATTCCAAGAAACTAAACTTCTGTTCAAATGTCCCTTAATCAACACCAGAAAAATGTTAGAGATGCTTCCACTCAGTTTCTTCAGAACCAGGTGACATGTGCTTCATAGTTACCGTGAGCATGAAGCACAACCATCAACCACTTTTACTTCACCATGTCTCATTTACGTTTTTGTCACTGTTGAAATATTCTCATTCCTGTTCTGTTTGTCCTCAGACTCATGTCACTGCTCCATCTGTTTTAGAGTCATAGATTTAGTTTGACATTTCCAAAACAAGTCACTGCTTTTATAGACAAAAAACAACATTTATTTTGCAGTGGAGGAGGTACATTAGTTCAGAAACAGTTGCCGAGAATAATCAAAAATCTAAAAACGAAATTTTGACCCACCCAACTTCTGCTTTGGGGCATGGAGACTAGAGTTACATAGAGCAGCTTTAATGCAATACTGTATCTGTGTTTTGATAGAAGGACATGTTAAAGCTCTAGTGGCAGATAGATACATAGATATAGAGATGGAGATGGAGATGAGGAGAAATTCAGGTGACCATTTGTAGCTGATACAGAGAACAGATTTCTAGATACAATTGTAAATATCTTATATAGCATTTATTATGTAGTACTGTATGTTTCCCATGTACCTTTGTCACCCCGTTTTGTTACCCATGTTGTGACCCATATCGCTCTGTGTTGTGTAGTTTGAGTCCACCCGCTCCTCCTCCCCCACTGAATGTTGCCGCCTGTCCCCATGGAGCAGAAAGGTACCTCCCTCCTCCGTCCCTACTCTCTCTTGTCTCCCTCCTCTCTCCTCTCTCTCCTGTTTCTCTCTCTGTGTTTCTTCATATCCAAAAGCATGTGTCTCCTATAACCTATAACCTTTAACCTTTACATTTCCAAAGGACCGTATTCTGTATTTTACAACTTACTAATTGCTACTTTTTTCAGTATGTTATAAGAATGTAGAGATTAGAAATGCATGTGATGTTCCTTGTGGAGCTATGATTGGATTTTGAGCTATTGTGGTCAGCGCCCATATTGAGAGAGAGATCGGCTGCCACAGATGGTCAGGCTGTAGAACCAGGACTGAGGCTGTAGATCCAGGAATGAGGCTGTAGATCCAGGACTGAGGCTGTAGACCTAGGACTCAGTCTGTAGATCCAGTATCTGCTGCATAGTTTCAGTGCATTTACATAACAGTAAATGAAAGTAGAGTTCATGCAAAGGTTTTCTCTGAGTCTCAGGCTTTGGCTTCAGTAATGACAGGGCCCAGGGTTCCTCACACTCCCGCACTGCTCTGCGGCAAATTCAATTAAAGCTGTGGTACATAACTTTCAAACCTCAAAGGCTGTTTCATAAACTCCATGTAATTTCTCTGGATTTCTAAACAGTCTGGTTCTATCTCTCTAGTCATGCATCTTTTAGCCTCTGTCACAGCTCTAGGTCTCAGCCCAAAAGGTCAAATAGTGACTTGTTAGACAGGTTTTACAAAATGGTTAAGAGATCCTTTTATACGTCCCACAGAGGGGAAATGTCAGTGTTGCATCACCAGTTACAGAACAGTAGGAATGAGGGGCACACAGCACAAGACAAGAAAACAAACTAATAAACAAGCAAGTATAAAATCTCTAACTTTAGCATAATAGAGAAGAAAGTATACATACAAAAACAAAATGAACAAACAAACAGTTATGAATGTGTTTGAATTCACTGAACTAATAAGAAATACTTATCTTTTTAATCTTCTCCTTTTATGTGTTTCTCGTGAGCCACTTGGGCATCAGAGAGAGAACTGTTAAAAACACACCACACCCCATGAGTTTTTAGGCACTTTTTACATTCGTCACAATCCAGCTTTTGTTCACAGACTCAGTAGCGGAAATACTTTCTCCCTAAATGCTCAAGTCTATTATTATTTTTATTCTCAGAGCTGGATTTAAGAGTCTGGATTCATAAAGAACCTCCAGAACAGACAGTTCACAGTCCTCTTTCAGAGCGGAGCACTTTTATCTCTCTCTGGTCTTTCTCCAGTCTCTCTCTCTGGTCTCTCTCTGGTCTCTCTCTGGTCTCTCTCTGGTCTCTCTCTGGTGTCTCTCTGGTCTCTCTCTGGCCTCTCTCTGGTCTCTCTCTGGTCTCTATCTGGTCTCTCTCTGGTCTCTCTCTGGTCTCTCTCTGGTCTCTCTCTGGTCTCTCTCTGGCCTCTCTCTGGCCTCTCTCTGGCCTCTCTCTGGTCTCTCTCTGGTCTCTCTCTGGTGTCTCTCTGGTCTCTCTCTGGCCTCTCTCTGGCCTCTCTCTGGTCTCTCTCTGGTCTCTCTCTGGTCTCTCTCTGGTCTCTCTCTGGTCTCTCTCTGGTCTCTCTCTGGTCTCTCTCTGGTCTCTCTCTGGTCTCTCTCTGGTCTCTCTCTGGCCTCTCTCTGGTCTCTCTCTGGTCTCTCTCTGGTCTCTATCTGGTCTCTCTCTCTCTTGACTCTCTCAAGTCTATCTCCGGTCTTCTATCTTAGGCTGTAATGTCACAAATCATAGTCACAGAACCAACAAGCAAACTTTCAATGGTGCAGTGATAAAATTCAAAGAGTTTGTGGTAAATTCTAAATAAAGTTTCCACAGAAAGAAGAGACACTGATGAGCTTTATTACCGACCTGGTTATTGTTTTTTCCCATTTCAGAGTTAAACCCAGAAACGTGGTCAAACATTGAGTTGTTATGACATGCCAGCCCGGGTCTCTCACTGATGTGCTGTTTACGCTGCGACAGTAAAATGTTAGAGTTGGGTGTTGGATTGTCCTTTTGTTTTCATGAAGACAGGGTTTTCAACTCTGGCGTTTTACTGTCGCAGCGTCCTCGTGTAAACAGCTCCTTGACAGTCCTTGACTCCAGCTCCGATCCTGAGGCAGTTGTCACTAAACAAAATGACACGAACACAAACAAACATGATTGTTGCAGATGCTTCCAGCTGCCACTGCTCTCACTCTCTCCTCTCCAGACAACTCTTTATGTCCTCAATAACAGATCAGCTGCAAAGTGCCTCCCTTTTGATTCCCTTCCTCACAAGTTACCACAGAAACCGGCTTCTTTTGTCGGGGTCCCATTGGCTCGTTCTCTGGGAACCCGGAGCACAAAGGCCTGAGGGCTGGGGGTGGGTCGTCTGTCCGCTCGGTGATTGAGCAAAGTGAGAACTCCGGATTTAGTTTCGCGTGAGCTTCAACCCAAACTGTTGCTGGTAAGATTTTTGTTGATTTCATAGTTGTGTTTTTGGGGCCAAGTTTGTGAGAAGAAGCCAATGGAAAACAACATCCCAGATTCGGAATATTGCACATGATACTGATACTGAAACCAGGAATGTTGTCGCCACATACGTCCAGAGCGTGCTTCATTCTTGGGGATTTCAGACAGACGCATTATTGAAGAGTGAGTCAAGGCTTTGAGACGTGAGAGACTTCCTTTTTATTGCATTACAGATCTGTGTCCAGTCTGTTCAGAAGTGGTTTTGTTGATCTGGTCTGAGTCATGTGAAGGAATCTATGTTTTGAAGTGACTTTCTCTCCGTGACACTGTTTAATATTTGTTCAAATTTAAACAAAAAATATATGGAATGATCTTGTTTTAGTTTTTAGTCAAGTTGCAACATTGTTCCTTCGTCTAAAACAGTGTTGTTTAAATATCAGTCCCTGCAGTTCTGAGGAGGATTATCCCTTCTGTGAAACGCTGCAGTCTCAAACTCATGATCCAACGTCGAATCTATGACATACTTTTCTATGACTTTTGCAACACATTTCTTTTGTAAAATGACATCACTTAATATCACGATGAAGAGATTCTTTATTCGTCCCACAGTGGGGAAACTTTGCTGTTTACTGAAATCTATACTTGTTTGTTTGTTGGAAATGCATAGATTCGGTTTTCATTATAAACTAAAGGTTACTTACTGACTATTGTACTTCAGCTTCTGGTCATCTGTCTGAAAACTCATTGCAAAGTATTAGTTGTTACTTTTATCAGAACACTTAAATTTGAATGACGTGCTGTTGAATGTAGTCTCTATGTTTAACGAACGACATATACGTTTGTGTTTTCATCGTCAGTCTTGATAAATCTTTGGCTTCGAGTGTTCATGTCTATGCAGAGGGTTCAGGAGGTCAGCTGTGGGGACATCTTTCTCTTTTCCTGCCTGTTGCATGAAACATTGATATTTCTTTGCTTTGACATTTGAATTCTTCTCATCTTTGCTGTATGTGTGTAGAATGTGCATGTCTCTGTCTTCTCAGTGATAACTCTGCTTCTTCCAGCTCCACTCAAGTTGTTTCCATTTTCAAAAATACAAAATAAAATAAAAGCAGTGGACAAATCTAAATGTTCATTCTGCAGAGTATTAAAAAAAGAGTATAAATGATTGACAAAACTAGCTTAAAGTGATAAACCTCAGTCTTGATATTAGTCTTTCATGACAGAACCAGCTGATTTTGACTTGAAAGTGAACGACAACCAGTTTCTTTAAGTCTCGTAGGAAGCATTTTAGCAAAAAAACCAAACACAATTATTGCAATATTATTAGGCCACTGGAAAAAGTATAAAAACATGTGACAAATCTCCACAATGTGACATAAAACATAAAATATTTGAACACTGAACACTTCTAAATAATCTTACTTTATAGACCTATGAAGTGACGTTTGCTGCCACTTTATTTGGATTTTAAAACAAATCTATTGATAAATGATATGTGATGTGAAACAGCCATAGTCCATAAGAAATAATGCAGGGAAATCTCTGTGGGAAGCCAGGTTGCTGTATAGAAAGTGTCCTGGATTCAAAGGCTCATGTAATTCGTCCACTACTGTCACGCCTAAAGGACTAAGGCAGTTTTGAGCCACTAATCCCACCCCTAACACCGCATGTGTCTGAGAAACAGAGACAAAAAGCAAATGTGAAAACTGAATTTAACCTGGGATGAAGTTAGCGGTTCATGATAAGGAAAGAAAAAATATTCATAAAAACAAACATAATACATATTAATAGGCACAAGATTTAAACAAAAAAAACATTAAAAAGGCACCCCAGTTTGTCCAAAGATCTTTAATTTCCTTTGAGATCAATAACGTTTATCTTAAATCCAAAATATATTAACTTAAAGAAGTGGTTTTCTCTGCTCTCCGTCTCAAAGCGACGATTCTAACCCTTCTTTCTCTGGAGCCGAGTTCTCACCGTGAGAAGCCACATGTTTGACCCCTGTCCATCTGTTCCAGGCCTCGCCCCCAGACTCGGACTCAGAGGGGGCGTCTCTGGGTCACCGCTCTAAGTGTCCCGTCCCTAACGTCCCGACCACGTTGGACAAACAGACCAACTGGACCGGAGCCCTGCCGCTGCCCACCCCCGAGGAGAGACTCAAGAACAGCCCCCAGGTCGTCAGCTCCTGCGTCATTCCCATCAACGTGACGGGTAATCGCAGGATCCTCCGAGAATCTCCTCATCCTCACGCTAATGCTATTCTCTTACTGTCTGCATGGGGTTAAAGGGGAGGAAACATGCGACTACTCTATTCATACCACCAGGGGCAATTCATTTGAGCAGCGGGGGGGCATAAAACGGATACAAAATATAAAAATGCATTCGTTTTATACAGCGCTTTCTGGACACTTCACTTCATTATTCACTCACTCCAAACACAGTGGTGATAAACTACCACAGTAGCCTCAGCTGCCCTGGGGCACACTGACAGGAGTGAGGCAATCAGTCTGTGCCATTGGCCCCTCCCACCACCACCAACCAGTCACACACACACACACCAGACTCATTCGATTGTGGTGAAGTGTCTTGCCTAAGGACACAACCACAGTTTGGCACTTTGCAGCCGCGCCCGCCCCACAAATGTCAATAGCATTCACGATTTATTTTCCCGATCAGTGTTAGGGTCATCCTTATTAATATGGACAAAACCATTACATCACTATTGGTTGGTGGTTGTGGAAGCCATATTTTATTGACAGACGGACACAATGCAGAAAGTAAGTAGTTTTCTGAGGCTCTAAACATTGGTCTAAACCAGGGTTCTCCAACCTGTAGCTCGTGAGCCACTAGTAGCTCGCCACCCCCTTCCAGGTAGCTTGCCAAAGGATTTAGAAATGAATGTGTCAATCAAATGATATACTTTGTGGGCGACAGTGGCTCAGTTGGTAGAGCATTGGCCTTTGAGCCTGAAGGTCGTGTGTTCGAGCCCACCGTAAGACCTACTTCACGACAGCTCTGACTACCACCCCCCCGACCCAGAAATGGATTAAGGGGAAGAAAATGGATGGATGGCACTAACTTTGTCACTAGTAAAAAATATGTGATGATAAATAACGAAAGTACCCGATATCAGGCTTGTTCACACCAATATATAACCAAATGTTTTCCCAGGGCCGCTAAAAGGAGTAGCTTGCTGTCTTTATCTTCCTGGCAAAGTAGCTCTCTGGGTGAAAAAGGTTGGAGACACCTGATCTAAACACATGTCCTGGATCATCACCACTGTCCATAGACTCCTGCATCAGAGAGGATCCACTCAGGGTGGATTATCTCTGCAGCAGCCAGGCAGACCCCTGTCCAAATTTTTATATATAGTGACTTACATGGATCTTCCTTGCAATTATGCACTGTGTTGTCTATAGAATTTTGCGAGATTGCTCATAAATATCAGTGTTTCATTAGACTTTCTGAAAATACTAGTTTGGGTCCACTTTTGTAAGTACAAGGCTCTACTGTGCTGCTCTACAGTAGAACACAATAGTTTAGTTTCTTTCCCCACTTCTTGACACATTATCGAGACTGGAGTAACACACGCAGGATCCAAGTTTCAGAGTCAAAAGCTTCAACACTTCTCTTTAAAATCAGACTGGATTTGCAAGTCATGCTTCGTGCCCCGTTAACCTACTTTCTCACGCTCCGATGGTCCGTCTCCTGCAGGACGAGGCGCTGTGGCATGAATGCAGATTAGCAAAGTCCAAACTCTTGAAAAGGAGCTAACGTTATTTATCCTCATTGATTTGAATTAGAAGAGCTGTGTGCCAAAGCTCGCCGGGTCAACCACAGTTTAGCACCAAAAATGCACATTGTAAGCGAATCCTTGCAATTTCTATGGTGCCGAAAAGCCTGACCTGGTATCACATGATGGGCATAAAGCAGGAGGAGGGAGAGGAAGAGGAGGAAGAGGAGTGAGAGGAAGAAGAGCGTGAGAGAGAGAAACTAGCAGGAGAGAAGCTTTAATAATACTTAACTTCTGTAGAAACTGTTGATACTTATATTATCACTTGGCATTTGTTTTGGCTTCTGCTCCAGTGGAAATAAGTCGGTTTGACAGTGTTTATGATATGCTTTCCTATTTGTAAACATCATCTAATTTCACACGAAGAAAAACGGTGGCGTGACCAGTGCTTTTATATGGGAGAGATGGAGGAGGAGGTGGTTCTCTCAAACAAAGATTTCTTAGATGTGTGTGTGTTTGTGTGGCAGGGGTTGGCTTTGACAGAGATGCTAGTGTGCGCTGCTCCCTGGTTCACTCCCAGTCTGTGCTTCAGCGGAGGAGGAAGCTGAGGAGACGCAGGACTGTGGCCGGCGTTCCCCGGCAGGTGCAGCGGGAGCTGGGTAAGTAGACAGGCTTAATCACACATTTACATTAAAGTTTCAAATACTTTTGAATTTGTTTCTTACAGCTGCAGTTGTTATTTTATGTTCATGATAACACAGTGTTCTGCACTGAACTGTTTAAATAGATTAAAATCTGCAGCGTCCAGCTCCCAGTGCAGCTGCAGCCTCGTCATCAGAAGTGTCTGACGCAGAGAGTTATTCAGGGCTCCTCTAACTGTTCTTCTTCTGCTCACAGCGTTCTTCTCCTCGGCCGACTCAGACGACTCCCCAGCGTCGGGAGAGCGAGCAGTGATTGTCCACGCCGCCGCAGACACAGACCTGAACACCAGAGACTCCGGCTGCCAGACCGAGGACATCCTGGTTTCCGGAGCTCCGTCCTGGAGGCGTGTCCGGGCGCAGCGAGGCCAGGCCCTGTGCTTGTCCTACTCTGCAGGGAACATCTCCTCTCTCCACGACAGCTCTGACATGTTCACTGCACACCTCCACACCCGCAGTCTTCCCCGTGAGCCCAGCCTCCTGCTGGTGAATGGCCATGAGAGCGACGAGGAGCTGTCTCCATACGAAGGGGAGGACTTCCTGTCCACAGCTGCAGACTTACAGCTCAGCGCTGAGGGCGGCGGCTCCGAGCCTCAGTCTCTGTCCAGTCTCAAGTACAACCCCCTGCCGGACAGTCCAGGGCGGAGCTGGATGCAGCGGGCACACGCCGCTCTGCCCAGAGGAGGCTTGGGCAGCTGTGAGATATCCTCCAGCTCTGACACCTTCAGCAGCCCAGTGCACTGCGCCTCTGCGGGACACGTGGACCACAAGGACGAGCACCAGTCATCCAGCGGCAACTGGAGCGGCAGCAGCTCCACCTGCCCCTCCCAGACCTCAGAGACTCTGCTCCCCGCCGCCTCGCCCCCCCTCACAGGCTCCTCCCACTGTGACTCTGAGCTCTCACTGAACCCTCATCACACAGATGACCCGCTCGACCATTACCACGGCCTGAGGAGTCACCGTGCCGGCTCCTTCTCCTCCACTGCCATGGACATCCTGGAGGAGGCGGGCGTGAGCACTCCGGTAGGCAGTGACTGGGGCTTTGCTCCCACTGAAGCCTCCTGTCCTCCAGACTTCAGCCCTGAGCCAAACCCAGAGACCGGCCTGGACTGCCCCAGTTACACCAGCATGGCCACATGTGAGAGCAGCTTCTCAGACAAGCCTTTGTCGGAGAAGGCCGACACTGTGTCGCATTACTCTGTAGACACCGAGGGATACTACACCTCCATGCACTTCGACTGTGGCCTCAAAGGCAGCAAGAGCTTCAGCTACAGCAGCTACGCAGCCTCAGAGTACAGCCTCTCGGAGGTCAGCGGACACCTGACCCTGGGCCGCCGCTGCCTGTCTCTGAGGAAAAAGAAGTCAAAGCCGAGTCCACCGCAGAGGTGCTCGTCTCTCAGGAAAATCAACAGTGAGGGGAATCTGCAGCAACACACTGAACCAAAGATCAGCTGTGGACAACAACCTCCAGGCTCCAGAGAGCGCAGACTGCAGCTGAGTCTGTCCAGCTCCGCAGGACAAATGGAAGCCTCTCTGTCACGAGAGTCTTTGGAGGCTCCTGGTCCTCTGGAGGCTCCTGGTCCTCTGGAGGTTTGGGACGGCTGCACTGAGCTCCCAGACCTGGGGGTGTTCAGCTCCACAGACGCTCACTCCTTTAAGAACGAGGGCATAGTGCAGTCTGAGTACGCAGACCTGTGGCTCCTCAATGACCTGAAGTCCAACGACACGTACCGGTCTCTGTCCAACTCCAGCACTGCGACAGGAACCACGGTCATTGATAAGAACCAGGACAGCTCCGGCTCACAGACCTCTCAGTCCGAGTCCAGATCCACCACCCCTTCCCTGCCGTCAGGAGAGGGGGACTTCAAACTTACATCGCCAGAGAAACTGGCCGCGTTAGCTAGCCCCTCCAGCGGCTACTCCAGTCAGTCCGAAACCCCCACCTCCGCCACCATTCCCTCCACGTTCTTCCCTGGACCTCTGTCTCCCGCCAACAGGAAGAGAAAGCCCAAGGTCCCAGAGAGAAAGTCCTCGCTGACGTCACAGTCCAAAAACGGCTCGTGTAAAAAGGACTTGGAGCTGCCAGTCGTCCCATCATCAGATCTGGATTTCGCAGCTCTTCAAAGCCACAAGGCGGTGGTTTATAGGACTCAAATTCTCAATCACCAAAACAAACACAAATTGCTGAGTGAAAGTGCTGCAGGAGCTAAAGCAAAGTTCTACGACGTTCACCCCATGGCCATCACGCCCTCGGTGCTTCATACGGTGCAACTGAAATCTATTTTTAAGGAGCATGAAGACAGTCAGGACGAAAGCACATTAGATACAACTTTTAATGATTCTGCAGTGAATCAAACCACTGCCCTCTCTGATTCCACTGAACGGAGCAGCTCTGAGGCGACTCCCAGACAGGCGAGCGAGACCAGGTCTGCGTCACACCAGGAACTAACGGGTTCCAGCGAGATAAATAGTGGATATGAAGAAGAAAACATGACGGAACCAACTTCAGAGATGGACATAAGCAACTCTGAGCCACTGGTCATGACTGAGGACTCCCCCCTGGCGTTGGAATGCTTCAGTGCGAGAAGGCTGGAGATTGTGGAAGATGAGGATTCGGACATCAGCAGCAGCGCAGAGAAACTCCGGTCTGTGGATGAGGAATTGAGGTATTCGGAGCCATGTGGCGAGGATATGAAAGAGGTGGAAGACCCAGAGTCCTCGGGCGTGTCCAACGAAAGCTCCGTCAGCAGCAAAGATGAGGACTACTGCAGCAAAGGTATAGTACTTCTTCTTGGATAATTGATGAAGTCACATAGAGCTGCTGTTTGTGTTTCACTTTTCTGCACTTTCTTGAGTTCTCAGAGAGCTTTAAGACCTCAACATGGACATGCTCTTTGTTTTCTACTTTATACTTGGAGGCTTTAGAAAGGAGAAGCTATTAAACATACATGTATATTGAGACCAATACCAATATTTTATATCACATTTTTATATCAAATTTTTGCCGACATGAAGTTTCCAAAGTACTGCACAACATTAGATATACAAACACATGGAGATAGACGTATAGACTGTATAATTTCACAAATGATTGTTTTATAAGCATGTTGAATAAAACTACAACACTAAAACTATGAAGAAAAATAACTATCAATAGTCTGGAATGAAGGAAATTTATTCCAACTAAACTAGAAGTGAGGACATTTGTTTTTGAGTTCAGTACCAAATTTCAAGAACTCTCTCTTGGGGGCAAGTTTTACGTTTTTATTCTAAATTACCAGTGAATTTTGAAAGTCAAAAAAATGGATGCAGCCATTGAATCAAGGGCAACTTTCAACTAAGTTTTTCTACTGCTACTTTTTTCTCTTCTTAAGTATTTTATTTGCAAATGGTTATCTTTTAGTCAACAATAAAAATCAATCCATTATAATTACAGAGTTATATACTATATACTACTATATATATTGTTATAGCAACAGTGGCTATCGACTCCCATTGATGTCTGCTGTCGTTGTGCAAGACACTTAAACCCTACTTTGCCTGAAGCCCCACTGAAAGAAGGCTGTGTCATCACTGACAGAATAGCCATCCTCCTGTGGACTCACCACCTGGAGGAGGAGCAGTGAGGGGCTGGTGCTCTGTGAATTGGGTGCAACTCTGACTGCCACCCCCGACCCAGAAATGGTTTAAGGGGAAGAAAATGGATGAACGGATATAAAGCTATATGTCAGGCATTTACGATATGATTTTGTCTACAATTGCTGAGAAATGTTTGTCTACAGCTGGTGTTGCATTGATGTATACTTTTGAATGTAAATAATAGTTGTGTAATGTTTGGTGTTGCAGACAGCACGCCGAGTGAGACCTCCGTCTCCCCGCTGAGCGACGAGGCCAGACCTGAAGACGACACTGTGTTTCTGTCTCCGACTAAATATCGCACCACAGAAGATCTGTTCGCCATGATCCACAGGTCAGAGACCTAGTACATTTAATTTATTGACGTGACGTGAATTATTGAAGTGAATTGCATACCTAACATTGGAGCAAACTGATTTATCACCCACATGTTCTATAGCAGTTTTCCCCAACCTTTAAGAGCTGTGCCAGGTCTTAAAGGTTGGTGAAAACCTTTAAACCTTTAATTCTATTCAATTCAAACTAATTAAATTGAATGTTTTTCAATGTACCATTAAAAAACATTCAATTCAATTACTTCAAATGAATAATTTCAAAATATCTTTGTACAGCCCTAAATCACAACAGTAGTGTAACACTGACTCTGTTTTGTGGGAACAGGTCGAAAAGGAAAGTTCTGGGTCGAAAGGACCCCTCAGAAACACCCGCTCGCCTTCGCCTCAGCACCGCCTCAGGAAGCCCCTCCCCCTGTAGCACCGCCTCCAGCCCAAGCCCCACCCCCGCCATGTCTCCGCCCCCAGTTGTCACCCCGCCCACCGGCCTCCACAGAGCCCTGGTCCCCATCTACCGCAGCGCCAAGAAGTCTAGCACCTCCAACGAAGAGTTCAAGAAGCTGCTGCTGGAGAAAGGCAGCCACTCTGAGTCCAGCTACCGCATGTCGGCCACAGAGATCCTCAAAAGTCCCATCGCTCCCAAATCCCCCTGTGACCCGCTGCTGCTGGACTCGAAGCCTCAGGAAGAACCGGCGTCTCCCACACAGCAGCACAGTCTGGAGCAAGTGTCCAGCCCGTACCCCAGGTCTCACTCTGAGGGGTTCTCTTCGAAGAGCTTCCAGTCGTCGAGGCAGGGGCGCCCCAGGATCCCCCCCGCCGCCAGCAGCAGCCGGTACGGCATGAGGCGCATGTACTCGGCACCAATGCAGGCCATCTCCGAGGGCGAGGCCGAGAACTCAGACGGCAGCCCACCGCTCCTCGTAAAGAGTCAGACTAAAGATCTACAATCAATATAGCTTTTTAAAACACACAATCTATATTTGCTGAATGAGAAGTTTCCCTTTATGTCTGTAGACAGTTTCACTCCCAGACTAGCTTGAACTCCCGGAGCGGTCTTTTTTATTTTTTTATTTTATTGTTTTTATTTATTTGAAGAGGAACAGTACACATGAAATCAACATTAGTTAATATTTCAATTATGCAGCTACTTTCAATTCAACTCAATGTATTGAGGAAAAAAACAGGAAATGAAATGATGACAAGCACATAGAGCCATTGGTCGTTTAGTTTCAGACAATAGACAAACACAATAGCATCAGATCATGGATGCTACAGGCTTGTGTTTTAACATGTTTTGATAGCTCCTGTTTAAATGAATGGAATTCTGAAGAAAATCCACCCAAGAGACAAGTTTCCTTTTTTTCACTACTTTTATTAAGATTAAGATCTTCAGAATAGTGTGGAATTTAACTGAAATACAGAAACACTAAATACTGACTTGAGTATGAGTTGCTTAACCAGGATCCTGATCATTACATGAACATAATGAATAATGAATAATAATGAATGAAGTAATTACACTTACACAAGATGGAAAGCATCCAATCGACTGCTCCGGGAGTTCTGGTGTTATTGAAACTGGTTTATTTAAGCATAAAGGAATTCATACAGTGTTCAATGGTTAAAAGACGATTTGTTATTGCGGCTTAAAACGTGTTCAAACTCTTGTTACTCGACAGAACTCACTCGCACCTGTGGAACTGACTTTAAAAACACTTGAACTGGCGTCTCATTGGTCAGTTGCATCTTCTACTGTTCCCTTTCCGACAAATGGATCATGGATTTCCAAATGTATTCTGTGAATACCTATGCAATAAGAAACACTTTCTACCAGACATTTGTCCAAGTGTTTTGATCTCCACATCAACAGATCAGGCTCAGAGTCACAGCGTTTGGAGTCAGGGAGAGTCCGGAGAGAGAAAGGATTGTGTGTGTTTTGTGCGTGGTGAGGGAAGTCTGGGCCTCTCTGCTCACAGTGCTGCCCCCGCAACCAGGCACCGGATAAAGGGGAAGAAAATAGATGGATGAGTCCGTATTCTGCCCAAGATAAACGCTGTGACTGTGACAATAGACAAAGCCCAAACTTGACAATCTTGAAGAAGACAGAAAGTGATGTTGGGTGTGAGGGCGTGAGTTCAGTCGCTTTGAAGCAGAAGGACAAACGTTTTTACTAAAGGTCAAACTGCGGAGTTGTTTCTTTGGTTTGTTTACGAATCGTCGACGAGAGACGAGCGGAAAGTGTTCGGAGGGTTTTTGTTCAACCACTAACAGTAAAGCAGCACATTGGGGAGCGAGCAAGTCGGCCATTTTGAGATGGTTATTTACAGCCAAAACATTTACCTGGTGTCATTTTAGACCAACGTATCGCTATTTTTATAACTGAACTAAATAACGTCTATTCTTGAAGTCAAATTATGCAAAAGTTTAAAGCATTGTCAGGTTATACAAAGGTGCTCCTCGCTTTAAACTTCTCACCCAGGAATGGAAAGAGTAAGGCACAACTGCAAACCTACCAAGACACAGCCGTCTGTCTTTGAAATAACTTCACTTATGCAAAGAACCACTCCTATTTTCAAAACAAATGTAAGATAAGAAAACAGTTTATATATTGAATAAGTGGTAAGGTCAGTCATAAGCTACTGTATACAAAGGAAGCTTCTAGATTTATATGACTCGGTGATGTTTGAGGGAACACTGTATGTTTGTGTGTAGCATTGGACCTGAAAAAACAGACTTTGTAAGTTGTTAAAGCCTTTTCACATTTTTATAATACTTTAAACCAAGATCAGTGCTCGTTGATCTGATTTGATCAAGCCACAAAACACCAATATTTCTTTTGATTCATTTGATCAACAGCACGACTTTGCGCAGGCTGCATCTGTCTCTTTGATCAAACTCTCAAAGCTGTTTCTTTGTTATTGTTGCACTGATTCCAGTTGCTGTTCGTGTTTTTCCTGGACTCTTATAAAGAATGCATCGTCTTTCAAAGGGCAAGGATGATTCTCCACTTTGGGCAAACTATGAACCTATAATGAATCAAATAAATTAGATGAATGATGATAGAGATAGAAACTGGGGCAAAGATCAAACATTACTGAAAACTTAACTGTTTAACACCATCGGACAGAATCTAACAGAGTCTAGTTCTCTAAACAGTTCTGTGCATCACAACCAATCTTCTACAAACCCTAAGTGGGCTCGATAACATTTTCGATTAGCCCTCACTAATATCTATTTAAGTTCTGACTACACTACAAAAATGATCAAATATTAGGTAATAATCGCTTAGAATTGATTTATCTTAAGTACATTCTGGCTAAGGCTGCACAATATATTAAAAAAAATATTGTTATTGTGATATTGATACGTGCAATATCCATATCGAGAAGTAAGATATTAAGACATCAGAACAGACAGACACATCAACATTCAACAAGAACAACAAACTAACAAACACAAAAGTATATAAATATATGCATTTGAATGTCATTAATGTTGTGCTTATTTTTTGTTATTTGTCTCTTGCGTTTCAATGCAGATTTTAATCTTGGGTGAAAGACAAAAATATTGCAATAATATTGTTATTGAAATACTAAACACTCATATCGAATATCGTACTAATTCCCAATATTGTGCAGCCCTAATTCTGACTGTTAAAACAAAATTCTCCAATGGGACAACGACGTTTAGTCTTACATAAAGAACTGTTGCTTTATTTTCTCATTCCAAGGGAGACATTTCTTGTATATTTTTGATACATTTTGCTTTGTCCCATTGGTAAATCTTGTTTTAAGGCGGTCAGAATGTGATCAAATTATGATGCATTTTGCCAAATTTGATCACTTTTTGCCGTTTGCTATACCCTATCCCGTTCCCTAACCCTTTAGTTAGATGTTGAATAAGCCCATGTAGAATAAGGACTAATAAGTGCTTAATTAATACAATTAAGAGCTAATTAACCATAAGTTATATACTAATTATCACTGAATTAGTTGTTAGTTAGTGAGGGCTAAACTAAAGTGTGGCACAGGATTCTTTAATTGCTAAAGAAAACATTCTGTAACTTGTGGCTTTTACTCGAGTCTTTCTAATCTATGGCAATAAAACTAATGTATTGTTTCTATTTCAAACCTTTGGACCAGATTTATACAGTCACTTCTTCACCGTCACTGGACTTGTCTCCGCTGCCAAAGTCTCCTTCTTATAATTACATTTTTGAGGCATTCGTTTCACTGACGACACATCCTGGTACTTTAAACATTTCACTGATTCATCTGTAATAATCTGTAATAATCTTACTTTGAGACTCGTGCTTTTGTAAACTTTTGTAAATAGAACGACTTTTGTCTTGAATTGTAAAAAATGACTAAAAAGAAATCTAAAAGTTTTCAAAGTTTACATGAAATTTAACCTTTGTATATTTTTGAGCAGTGGAACACCTTGTATTGTATTTATTTTGTAGTAAGTGTTGGACCCATAGTAAATGTACAGATGACAGAGGAATAAATGTGACTGCGTTCAAATCATTTGGTTTTTAATGTGTGTTTTTTCATTTAATTTTTTATCTGGTTTGTTAAACATAAAAGTAAGGCTGTAGATCCTGGACAGAGGCTGTAGATCCTGGACTGAGGCTGTAGATCCAGGACTAAGGCTGTAGATCTAGAACCTCCTTTCTCAAAAAATCTAATAATGTATAATACATTTGAAAGCTTCGAACAGTAATAATCTGAAGAGGAAGAGGATCGACAGCAGCGCCCCCTCCAGGGCGAGTGAGAGAAGCGTGAGCCTCAAGCATTCGCTCCCAGCGGGACAATAACAAGAGGCAGGAGCCGGAGGCAGGGCCTGAGGCTGGAGGGGACTGATACCAAGACCCAGGGGCCCTAAGGGGCCCCTCAGGGAACCCCCAGGAGACCCCGAGACAGAGCTGTCCCTCTGCACCGCGCCCCTAGCTCACAGATATCCTATCAGCAAACTACACTTTCACGACAGAACAAGCTTTAGTGAAATGTTTATCTCAGCAAGAAGCGATTTAGAAAATGTTTTATTCATCTGTGTTTTCAATGTTCGAGATTAGTCAAATCTCCATAGTATGAGCTATATCTGATTTAGCCTGTATGAGCCTCAACACAGAGTAGGTCTATAGTTTGAAGAAAGAAACAAGCATTTAAAAAAATATATTTATGTAGATCCAGGACAGTTTAGTTTTGTCGTATGAACCATGAGGTCTTTTGTTTCAGTTCTGTTCATGGAATGATAGCATGTCCCATTTCCATTGAAAACAGACAGGTTTGGATATGACACCATCTTTCTTCATAACACAACGAACTGAATCCGCCCAATTCTGCAGCTGTATCTCTCATTGCCTGAACGCGGCTCTGTCTCTGATGTCTGTGATGTACGAGGATGAGGAGGATGAGAAGGAGGAGGAGGAGGCGACGGAGGAGGGACGTGGAGATGCGCGCGCAGCTCCAGTCTGGACCCGAGCCTCCGAGCCACAATAAGCAGGAATTCCAGCCTCATCTTCATATTCCAACACAACGGGAGCTTTCATTCACACACAGCGTCAGCGTCAGAGAGAGAGAGTCTGTCTACTCATGAGGTAAGCGTCACTCACGTCTGCAGCCAAACATCATTTTAACATGGAATTAAAGAAATGGAAAGGGGATAAGCCAATGCCTTTGACTCGCACGCTAACACATGACCACAAGTGGACTGTGCTGATCCACGCCGGCTGCAAAGACTACAAGAGATATGTCTGTTTTATTGTCACATACATTGGTACTGGCCCAATGACGCGCGCCGCCTGTCAGCCCGAGCGCGTCCACACGGAGCCGTATCTAGCGACACACACAACAACAAGGTGATGTCGCGTTTGTTTGGCAACGTGTGCGTCTGTGCTGCGGAGAGAGTCCGTGGGTAATGGCTCCACGTTGTGTGTCGGTCTCCCGGGTCCATG